ACAAAATTCATCTATTGGAAGTGTACGGTTTCATGACTTTAGTATATTGAGTGTATTTAGAGTTGTGCAACCATCACTAAAAATCTAAGTTTAGAATATTGTATTACTCCAAAAAGAGACGCCTTTACAATTATCAGCCAATCCCCACTTCCCCCTCCACCCAGCCCCTGGCAGGAAGAAATGAGTAAATGATTGAGTTGATAAATGAATATCTATACCTTTTAGCAGACGTTATGTCAGACAATGACTGATCCCAGCCTTTGTTTGTTGTTTTTTATAAATTTTCTTACTTTTATTTTTTAAGTTTTAATTTTTGTGGCTACAAAGTGGGTGTATATATATATATGGGGTACTTGAGATGTTTTGATATAGGCACACAGTGTGAAATAACACATCATGAAGAATGGGGTATCCATCCCCTCAAGCATCTATCCATTGAGTTACAAACATTCTCATTACACTGTCTAATTCATTTTAAAATGTGCAGTTACTATTATAGTTGTTGCTTCTTGTTTCTGTTTTCCTTTCCCATCTCTATCGTTGCTCTGGTTTCTAGGCTAATCTGGATTCTGTGAGTCTCCTCCATCACTGTTCATCCTCCAGACCCTGGCCAGACAACTTTTTCCAAAGAAAACAATATTCTAACCACTCCGTTTAAGGAAGCCCTCAGTAACTCCCCTGGGAATCAAGCCACACTCCCAACATGGTGTCTACAGGGGAATTCAAGTTTCCAAGTTGACGACTTAAGCAACTTGGAAACAGATGCTTGAGATGCAACTCTTCTGTGAGTCGAAGAAGGTCTCTTCTAGGTCTTTGTTTGCTTCAGAGTCCTCAGAAAGTAAACACAGCTGACCTGATTATTCCCCTCCACTTCCTCCTGAGTCAGAGTTATCTCGGGTTAACTCAGGAAAGAGGCTAAATTAAGCCTTGAAACGAAGCAGCCTCCATGACAGGCACTTTGTTTTGCTTGACTGACTGTGATGATGGGTCTTTGGTTATAAAGGCAGCACTAATTGCATCTTCTTAAACCAACCCTGGCCATCTATTCCCTGGCCTGCAGAGACTGGGAGATGCCAGGTTGCCCCAGAGCACCCACTCATTCATTCAGTCACTCATTCATTCACTCATTCAGTTTTCTTAAGTTCCTGCTCCATGCCCGGCACTACACTTGGAGGTGGGGATTCGAAAGTCCTTCCTCTAAGGGCTTGCAGTCTTTCTAAGAAGACGAATGATAAACCAGAGACTCCATTAAAGAGATGACTAGTGCTTGGATAGACATCTGTCCAGGGCAGTGAAGGGAGTGGATTTCTAAGGTTCTTACAACCAACTTCTCATGACTTTGTGCAAAGTTTGAGCCATGGAGTCGCCAAAATAAAAAGAGGGGATCCACTAACACCTACAAACTAGCAAACAGACACAACCACTTTAAAAAACTGTTTAGCAGTATCCACTACCGTCAAACATATGCATACCCTGTGCCTGGCAGCTCCTTTTCTAGGTATGTATGTAGTCAGTAGGAAATGCACATGTGAATTTTACATTAAAAGAGAAAACTGTAAATAAATACTGAACTGTAGTTAAAACATGCAGCATGCTTCTGTGTTTAAGGGCAAATGAAATAATATCTGCAATTTAGGCCAAGCATGGTGGCACACTTATGATCCCAGCACTTAGGGAAGCTGAGGCAGGAGGATTGCTTGAGCCCAGGAGTTCAAGACCAGCCTAGCAACATAGTGGGACCCAGTCTCTACAAAAAGAAATTTTATTAGGTGGGCATGGTGGTGCACACTTGTGGTACCAACTGCTCGTGAGGCTGAGGCAGGAGGATCATTTGAGCCCAGGCAGTCAAGGCTGCAGAGAGCCGTGATCACACCACTGCCCTCCAGCCTAGGCAAAAGAACAAGAGCCTGTCTTAAAATAATAATGATAATAATAAGAGTAATAATGATATATGTAGTTTAAAGTGCACCCAAAAAAGAAGATAGATGAATAAGGAATGGGCAGATATGTGACAAAGCAAGTATGGGAACATGTTAGTGATGGATTTGAGATGGTGAGTTTATGGGTGCTCACTGTAAAATTCCTTCAAATTTGCTGTATGTTAAAAAACTTCATATGAAATATTGGGAAAGATGTATGTATATGCTTGCCCAAAGATACGTACAAGAATGTTCATAGCAGCATTATTCATAATAGCCCCAAACTTGAAGCAACGAAAATGCCCATCAGCCATAAAATAGAGACATAAATTTTGGGTGTAGTGATCCAGTGGAATACTGTTCACATATGAGAGTGAATAAGCCACAGCTATACACAAAGACATGAGCAAATCTCACAAACACAGTGTAGAAAGTAAGAAATCAGACTCAAAAGAGGATATACTGTATGATTCCATTTACGTAGAATTCAAAACCAGGCAAAACTCATCAATGGTGTTAGAAGCCACATTAATGGTTTTCAGGAGGTAGGGATAGTGACTGGACGGGGCGCTGTGGGAGGCCCCTGGGTGCTGGAAAGCTCTGTTTCTTTATCTCAGTGCTAAACAGATATGAAAATGTATCAAGCTGTACACACTTTGTGGACTTTCCTGTATGTTTACTATACATCATTAAAAGCATACGAGGGGAGAAAAAGCAGGAAAACCAAACGAATCCAACTAGAAGCTTTCCCTAACTGAGCTATGGGAGTAGGAACCCACTGTAGGTCTGTCTAGTAAACCAAAGTTGTGAAGAATATGAAACTTGCCTTTAGGGCGTTCCTTTGTTCACTTATGCACATTTTCGTGTTGCATTGGTTCCTCCATTCTTCACTGATGTGCTTGCCTCTCCTTCGCACAGATGTTCATTCACATATACTGTCCTCCGGATCCAGAGCCGCTCCGTAAGGTGCGAGCGACCCAGCCCTCTCGGGGCTTACATGCACGGAGGGAGGGGCATGCAGACATTTCATTTCCCGTTTCGTTTCACATTCCCACATTCCTGGATTCCCGTTTGTGATCCTTCCTGGATGTGTGTCCTGAGACAGCATTCGAATGAGAGACACAGAACCAGTAAGATATATATAGGTGTGTATGAAGAGATTTGTTATACAGAATTGACTCATGTGATTTCGGAGACCAGCAAGGCCTGAGATCTGCAGGGTGAGTCAGCAAGCAGGAGACCCAGGATGGCCGGTGGTGTGGTTCCATCTGAAGACCTGCAGGCTCCAGGCCCAGGAGGAGCTGCCTGAAAATCGACAGTTCCAGTCCAAAGGCAGGAAAAAGCCATTGTCCCAGCTCGAAGGCAGGCAGGCAGGAGGAATTTGGGGGAATGTCAGCCTTTTTGTTTCATTCGGGCCTTCAGCTGATTGGTCCATCACCACCCACATGTAGGAGGACAGTCTGATTTCTTCAGTCTGCCAACTCAAATGTTAATCTCATCCTGACACACACACACCCAGAATAACGCCTGACCAACTCTCTGGGCATGCATGACTCAGTCAAGCCAACACATAAATTTAACCATCATCAAACCCTGAAGCATGAAAAGACTTCTGGCTCTAAAGGTGCAGCCCTCCAATGGAGGAAATGTAGCTATGGGGTGGCCTGGTGCACATCACATCACAAGTGGACGGGCCGCCACCACCACACACACTAGTCCTATTTTACTTATGGTTTGGACAAGCAATTGGTGGAAAAGAAGGCTTTGGCTGCCCAGTCTGCCTCCTGGATGGCCATGTTTTTTGTCTTCGAAAATAAAAAGTTATTTTGATTATTGCAATATGTATCATGCATGCCAAAAGAGTAGCTGGAAGATATGCCAGCAGTTTAAAGGAGCAGTTTAAAGAACAGTTTAAAGCTTAACAGATGGCAGATGACTAGTATCTGAAGGCCACTGGTGCCCCTCCTTCATGGCAGCCTGCTCCGCTCTTGCCTGGAGAAAGCCACTGTCCTGAGTTTTACACTAGTCATTTTGATGCTAATCATTGCGTTACTTTTTATGAAAATCAAAGAGCTCATCTCTAAAACAACAGATAACTTGGTTTTGCCTGTTTTGAGCCTTTATGAATCAAGTGGTGCTGCACAAATTTTTCTGCCATGTGCTTTTTCCCTCCGTTAAGTGTCTGGGCTTTGTTCTTCCTGTTGCATGTAGCTGTAATTCATTCATTTCACCATCATATAATATTCCATTGTAGAGACTGACCACCACATGTTCATCTGCTCTCCTCTTGGTGCGTATCTGGGTAACTTCCAGTTCTCTGCTCTGGCAGATGAAGCCCATGGGAGCAGTCCTGTCTATGTCTCCAGGTGCACAGAAGCGAGGCCTTCTTTAGGGTACACGCCTGGCAGAGCAGGTGTCCGGTGGTAGAATATGTCTTTTCACTTTTCTGGCTAATGCCAGGAAGTTTTCTGGAATGATTGTAGCAATATCTATTTCTACCAGAGATTATGATAATTTCTCATGGTACTATTCATCCACACTGTGTGTAGACCCCTTACCAACCTGCCTGGTCTCCATGAATCACCTTCCCTGGCTTCCAACCATCCCTACCCATACCGCAGTCAGAGCTTTAGCATGGTAGGACTGTGATGCCCCCTACACACTTTGTGGATACTCAGGACAGCACGTTTCTTGGGTGTAACCTGATATGTGAGAGTGCGTGAAATTCCCACCACCAGGACGGAGGGCACAGACCTTAGTTTCACTGCGGTGCAGCTGACCCAGTTTCTCCTTCAAGGGAAAGGGGGAAAACCAGCTCAACAAAGTGGGTGGTGCCCAGGTAGACTCCTAGGCTCCTCTCTCTGTACCAGTGTCAGGACGCTCATCTAAACCGATTAGCCGTGTTCTGCCATTTTCCCATGGCCAAGAGCAAGGTGTCCCAAGATAGGATCCTTGTGTGATTTGTCATCCCCCCAGCATGGTCTGACCTGCAAGCAGATCACCACCCGCTGCAGATCTGCCTGGCTATGGAGGGCGTGCTTATAAGTGATCATCTTTTGTGCTGCCTCTTTCCAATTACAGGTTAGCCTGACGAGGAAGATAAAGACATTTGCAACCAAGATGGTAATCACGAGTGGAAATGATGAAGACAGAGGAGGTCAAGAAAAAGAAAGTAAGGAGGAGAGTGTCTTGGCAATGCTGGGGATTATCGGGACCATTCTGAACCTGATTGTGATCATATTTGTCTACATATACACCACCCTGTGAATGGCCCAGAGCGTCCTCAGAGGCCTCGGGATGGCCAGAGACGGAAGTCCTGCGTGTCGGCGTATCACTGACCAGACCCTGCGAGAACCAGCAGGCTTGACCCACCCACACCACCCAATCAAATGCACCTTCAGACTTTACAGAAGGTCACACAAATAGACCGATCCTGCTGCAGGGAGCAGACACTAAAGCACAATGATTCCAACAAAACTCGTTCACAGCACTAGGAACTCAACGTCTTTGGCAGGGGGCCCGGAAGAATGCTTGGACGACCAGCCTCTGACACCATCGGTGAGCGGATGGGTGCAGAAATTCATTATTCCAGATCGCTGATGGATATCACATATTTGAAAAGATGAATAGGGCGGACACGGCTCAGATGTGTGTCTCCCAGGACAAGTGTTTCATCTTCACTTGACGAGCTATTTAGTGGAAAAACCACAGGGGCAGCCCTTTGACAGGCATCCCATTCATCAAAAGTGTCTAACTATTTGATACCGGGGAGATAACTTATTTTTCTTTTTTCATTGGCTTGATGTGTGTATCTGTTCATATCAAGGTTTGTAAATATATATTTTTAATAAATGTGCTCTATTTTTTAGCATGAACCAAATACTTGGAAAGGCACTCCCAGATCCATAGAGCTTTCCTTGGTTTTATCTGCTTTGTCCCTTCCTCCCCCAACTGCAGGTGTTCTCTTGTGGAGCCATTCTAGTCCTCTTGTCTCGTCTCGAATCTTTTACTTTTGCGCTCTTGTTCTCTCTCTCTCTCTCCTTCTCTGTCTGTCTGCCTCTTTGGTCTGAAGGACATTTTCCCATACTACCAGCCATGGTTTTGGTTGGTGCATGTTTCAAGATTGTCTATTGAGCGGCTTTTTGTTGTTCTCTCGGAGATATCAAACGATTGTGGGCATGCAGACCTTAGATGCACCCTATCTTTACTGAGAATTATGCATGAATAAGGGCTGAGTGATAGATCAGCTTAAAATTAAAAGGACTACCGTTGAGGAAGAAGAGCGTGGCTGTATTTGCAGATGAACTTTTGAACAGAATATTCAGCTTCTTATTGGCAGCATTATTGTTTCATTCTTGTGACCATTCGTTTATCAGATTTTGATTTTAGTGGTCATGTACCGTGACAGTTGGGAAGAACAAGGCGGAAAGCTCAGAACTAGGTGCATTACTCCTTCCTTGGCACGATACCTGGGATCCTCTTCAAAAGTGGGTGGGGTGTAAATGACACAAGAACTCCCCCATGAGAGCTCATGGTGGTTCAGGCTGTGAGGACAGCCCTGTGACAAGTGACTTTTCAGGGGCATAAGGAGGGGATTTAATGATTGCCCTAAAGGACTGCTGCATTTTTAAAGCCCCTGGTTTACACCCACGTGAAGCAACTTCCTCTCTGGCAGGGATGGTTGCATAGAAACAAATTGGCTCCCTTCTCCTGGCTCCCTGAAATGGGCCCTTGCCTGGCTGCAGTGACATGGCCTAAAAGAGAGGGTTAGTATTCCTTCTGCCATTGCCAGCTGTATTAATCTGTTTTCACACTGCTGATAAAGACATCCCCAAGACTGGGCAATTTACAAAAGAAAGAGGTTGATTGGACTTGCAGTTCCACGTGGCTGAGGAGGCCTCACAATCATGGTGGAAGGTGAAAGGCACGTCTCACATGGTGGCAGACAAGAAAAGTGAACATGTGCAAGGAGACTCCCATTTTTAAAGCAGATCTCGTGAGACTTATTCACTATCATGCAAACAGCATGGGAAACCTGCCCCCGTGATTTGGTTACCTCCCACTGGGTCCCTCCCACAACACGTGGGGATTCAAGATGAGATTTGGGTGGTGTGACAGCCAAACTGTATCACCAGCCTTGCCCCTAGGCAGAAGCAGCAGCAGTCTGCCTGGCTGGATTCAAATGATTCTGAGGCTTCTATAGTCTATGCCTCCAGATCTCTCCCTCACCCATGCTGTGGTGTCTGAAATTCCATCATTAGAGAGTCATTTCTTGCTCAAATGCTCCTGAGCAGCTGGCTCTGGCATTGATTTATCAGATATCTTCTCTTCCCTGCCAGAAGGAAGGAAGCTAGGGTGCATGTAGGGCGTACTGTGTGCCCAGGCACTGTGCCAGAAGCTTTGGATACTTGGAGTCATTTAATTCTCATAGTAACCCTGTGAGAGCGGGAGGTTTTCCTCCCCCACATTGTAGAAGAAGGAAAAATGGTTCAGAGAGATCAAGAAATGTCCCTGAGATCACATTGCTCCTAGTGGAGTCAGGATCCAAACCCAATGTGTCTGATTCCTTAGCCCTTGGGGGTCTGGAGGCTGCTGAACAAGAGAGGAGGTGGAGAGGAGAGAAAGCCGCAGGAATACTACTGTACACTCTTCTCCCTCCCCTGTAAAAACAACCCTGGGAACTCCTTGGACACTAGCAGAATATCATACATTAAAGACAAGGGATGAGAGGAGGCTGGTTAGAAATAAAGCAATGTCAGGGGAAAGGAGCTACTCAGTAGGCTCTATGTGATTCTCGAAAGACTGTATGAAAATTCTGAACATTGAACAGAATAAACAATAAAGGTGCAATGGAAAAAAATACTCGATGTCTTTTCTTTCAACATTGTGGGATATAAAGCATTTCAATGTCAGTCCTTTGCCTATACATGGTGTTTATTTATTTATTTTTTAAAAAAATACTGAATGTGATGCTGTTAAACAGAGACTGTTTTGTGTGGACTGTAGAAGTCTCAGTGATTTTTCAAGTATATGAATTTGACATGTATTGAGGGGGAAAGTGCCTTTCCAATCCTCTGCTCCCGGGATGGTTCTTCCAGGTTGTCCTGATCCACAGCCTGGAAATAAAGCTGCCTGTTCAATGTTGAACAGAGCAGTGACACTCTTTCCCACAGCTCCAGCATGCCCTGTCTTATTTCCTTTCTAATTTAGTAGAGACCATGAACACACACTGGGCAAACTCATAGCTTCCCGCAGATCTGAAGCCATCGCGGAGGGACATGGAAGGGAGAGGCAGGCAGTGCCCCTCCATCCTCAACATCTGAGATTGAGCCCCAAGCCCAGCCTTGGCCAGCAACAGCAATACCCAAAACAATGCCAGGGCCATGTACTCTACCAAGCACTTTCTACTTATCCTGTGGGACACAGAACAATCCCATGAGTTGTGTGTGTGTTTATCCTCACTTTGCAAGACGAGGAAAAAAAGACAATTGACTTTTCTGAAATCACACAGCCAGAAACCAGCAGAATCAGGTCTTTGCCCCACGTCCACCCACCGTCAGCACCTTGCCTGGCCCAGGTGGTGTCATGAGCCATCTGACTAGCCCAGTCACAATATACAGATTCCCATCAGCTCTGGCACTTCTTGATCACAATACAGTTGGCCCTGTATTGATCACAATACAACTGATCACAATACAACTGGCCTTTCACCTCTCCTCTGGGAAGGCAACTTTGAAAGGCTGGGTGCCAGCAGCGGAGGGCCAGCTGGGCTGCTGGCAGTGTAGCCTGGTGGTTTGGAGCCGCAGAACACTTACCCTATGGCCAGAAACCTCCTGGTCCTGAGTCCCATCTCTTCGTCTTTCAATCTAAGTGATGGCGGGCAGCTCACAGGAACTCTTGTTTCAGCTTTCCTCATCTGTAAGAGGGGATAACAACGGTCCTGCCTGGAGCTGCTTTGTGAGGATTAAAGGAGCCTGACCAGCTGAAGCTGCCAGCAGCACCAGGCCTAGCCCATAGCTCGTGCTCAGGTCATGCTAAGCTCGTGCTGCTACATGAAGGTAGTCAGGGAGCCGCTGGACATACATTTTGGGGGCCCCTCCTGGCCTCACTCTCTCCAGTCTGCATGGTCCCTTGCCTGCAGGGAGGCCCAGAGAGGGGGCTTATGCTGTCGACAGAAAGGGAAGTTCACATGGCAACTCGGTCCTACTCTTCTTGTCTTTTCATAAATCACACACGCATAGTCACGGTCAAAAAATTATTATAATTCTAAAAACTCTATAAAAGCACTTTTTAAAATTAAGGTAACTGCCAAATCTCACCACCCAGAAGCAATCACTGTTAATATTTAGTGTGTAATTTATAGAGCAGGTGGCTTGCATATCTGT